AGCATATTCTCCCACACAACAGTTGGCCCTAGGTCGAGGCTTTTCTTTGGACTATCTCGAGCTTTAACTAGGTCGGGATTTACTCTGGCCTCTCCGTTTGCTCCGGGTGTGGGAGCCTAACTCTGACCTCCCCTGTAATGATGATTCTGGCGCTTCAGGGCCCTTCGAGAAGTGCAAACGTCACGTCGGTTCGGTCGCCATGCTGACGTGGGCTTTTGTTTAAACGGGTAAATCTGGTCCATTGGATCGTGTCCCTTTAGTTTCTCGCTCTCCGCCTAACTGTTGGATCGAGTCCCTTCGTCTTTGCCGTTGGATGTATACTTACTTCATCGGACGACTGGGAGTTGAGGGTTTTCTGTTATTATAAATAATCTCCCTATGCTCGTTCAAATCATCTTGAAATCAAGCCGACACTCTGCCAAAAATTCTCCAGGACCGTTCTTCATACTCCCCACTCGCAAACTCGCGATTCTCCGGTGAAGTTCACTCCAAGTTCTTGCGCCTCTCTCGCTCCAAGTTTTCTAGTAAGTATCCCTTATCCATTCTCCCATTTTGCTGTCTATCGTGGTGTGTTGCGTGTTTACTTTTTTGTCTGGGTTTTCTATTTCTGTCCCGGTTTTACGGTGGATTTCTTGGGAGGGGGGATGATTGAAAATGGCATAATAGGGGTGCTAGAACCTGGTTTTGGTGTTTTTCATAATGTTCTGGACTAGTTATGGGAGTTTTGAGTGGATCTGTTGAGTTTTATGGGACTGGAATCTTGTTTGGCTTTCTGGGTTTGTTTGAATGGTCGGCGTTTTGTTTGAATAGTCATCGTCTTGATTATGTTTAGGTTAGAATCATCGTCGTCTACTCGAACAGTCGTAGTTTTTAGCTTTAACTTTATTCGACTAAGCATGTTTAGCAGCTTTAGATGCCGAACTTATTTTCTCTCCCCTCTCGACTTATAGGATATTGACCTTAGATTTTTTCTTCACAGTCATGGCACCCAAAAGGATTAACCGTCGAGGGGGATCATCGTATGTGCCTCTTGTGAGGTCGGATCCTTTTCCAGCCGCCGAATCTTCATCTCTCTCCATTAATAGTGATCCGATACTGAGAGAGATCAATGACTATATCTCCGATCATCGGGACAACGAGGACAACGTTGACCGCATGGTCGAGCGAGCCAAACGAGGAGGAGGCTTCTACGTCTAGTGCCCCCTCCGATTGTTTAGTCGGTGGTAGGATCTCCGGCTACAGCGGATGACATTTTGATGTCCCCGTGGCATCGATGGAGGCGGATGACGAACGACCATCCTTCACAGCTGACTTCACAACTCTGAAGACACGGGATAGGGACATCGTCCGCGCGTATAGGGAGGGACGCCTGTACGGTTGATGGATCGAGTACCTCTTCCCTGTCCCTAACTTCAGGGCGAGCCTACCGCCCCCGGGGTATTTATCTGTTTATACCCGGGCCTTCACGGCGGAGATGACATTCCCCATCCACCCGTTCGTGAAGGGCCTCTGCGAGCTCCACGTCATCTCCCCCACACAGTTGGCCCCTAATTTTTGGTATTGCTTTGCCGACATGTGGATTCTTTAGGACCAAAGGTTCGACGTGGAGCTGTCGTTGGATGAGTTTCTCTTTGTATATAAACTTTGCCAAGTTGCTAAATGCGACGGCTGGTACTTTTTGGGTAGTTACGGGAGATCCAAGCCCGTTTTAGTAAAACTAATAAAAGGCTTGCCCTCGTCATCTCATGCCTGGAAGCCAATGTTTTTTATGGTCAAGGGTATGTTCGACGTCCACCTCACGGATAAGCCATTTAAACGCCTAAGAGTGCATACATCTTTTGGGTCGTTGAGTAAGTAGCATTGACCGCATGTTACACAACTGAATTTATGTATGTTTTTACACCGCTGACCCCATGTTTTTCTGTGCAGTTCCCCAAGAGCACCCCAAACTTTTTAAGAATCGGCTGGCAAGGATCGAGGAAGCCTTCAGCCTCTTAGAAAGCGAGCATCATATCGATGCTCTTTTAACGCGCGAGAACCTAAGAAGCTCTAGCCTCCAGCTTTCACTCCCTGACCCCGCAGGCATCGACACGGTCAAGGACTTCTTCCATTTCACAGCCAGAGGTTAGTGTCTCTCCGTTACATTCGTTCATTACAATCAATCGTCTGTCTAATTACTTAGCTTTGATTGTGATGCAGAGATGAAGACCTTATAGCTACGCGTTCCAGGCAACAAGGGGCGCTCAAATAAGCAGAGGTCTCACGAGAGGTCGAGTGCAGCTGCTGAGGCCAGTGCCCCGTCGAGGCATCAACCTACGGCCTGAGTCAACTCAGGTTGCGCCGAGGTCCAAGAGGCCTCGCCCGGATGAAGCGCCAGCAGTGGAGGCTGAGCCAGTGCCCGTTATTGATATAACCAACGCTCTTGAGGCTCCTCCGCCCAGGGAACACCTGTTGATCCCGGGGACGAGGGTTCTGGATCCTCAGTACATTATCCCGGATCTCTCTCCGGCTCAGAGAGAGGCGGCGTTGAATCTGCCGCCGCATTTTTCCCTCATCTTCCAAGCTCTCTATGAATCCTTCTTTGAGCAGGACTGGGAGATCGCCACTCGGTCCTCTCTGGTCGATCATACCTGCCAGCAGATCTCTCACTAGATCCACGTAAGCTTCATCGTTTATCTCTATTTTGAGTTTCTTTAGGTTCTCTTTCTTGACATATTTCCTCTTCCGATTTAACAGTCCCTTGTCCTTTCCCTCCTTAACTTCATTGAAATGGTTAAGGTTGAGGACAAGGGAAAGGAGATGGATCACGTAGAGGGGAGCCTGAAGGCTCTCCTTAAAGCGGAGAAGGCCAACAAGGACGAGCTCACAAAGAAGCTTGTCGTCGTCGTAAAGGAGCTGGATGCGGCGAAGGCTGAGTTGGAGGATGCCAAGAAGGGAGTGGAAGCCGCCCGCAAGCAAGCCGTCGATGCCAAAGAGACCTTCCTTCACCAAGGCCGGTAGGAGGGATATGACCTAGGTAAGTAGGAAGGCTATGACCTAGGTAAAAAGAAGGGAGTCGAGGGATTCTTGACCTCTGCTGAATTTGCTCAGCAAAATGCAGAGGTCGCTGCCAAAGCCATCGAGGACTTCAAATCCTCTGACGAATTGCATGATATGCGTGCCAGTGACATGCTGTCTGTTAGCGAGCAACTCATTGCTAGGATCAACAGGCACATTCTTGGCCTGAACTTGGACTTCCTTTATGAGCCTCCTTCTGACGACGAGGGTTCTCCTGTCGAGGATGAAGGCAGTGAGGGCAGTGGAGTTGTTGAAGGAGCTGCTGGCGGTGAAGACGGCGGGGGCAACGAGGTCTAGTACACCTGGCGCTGATTCTTGTTCTTCATTTATCTGTAATATTTTTTCACAACATTAACACAATGGATTTTTATCCCGCCAATATGTATATTTATTATTTTCAATATAGCCTCATTTTATTCTGGTTATTTGTTTTATTTTTTAAACAATCGGTCATAGGCTCTTGGACTTGGCGGATTGAGAATCTGCCAAGTATAATAGTCTCTCCTCCTTGGATGAGTAAGCTTTGACGCCCCTTGGGGCTTTTATCTGGAAGCTTCTCCTCCTTGGAGGACTCAGCTTTCTTGATGCCCCCTGGGGCTTTTAGCAGATTTGAGAATCTGCTAAGTATAGAAGCTTCTCCTCCTTAGAGGAGTCAACTTTCTCGACGCCCTTTGGGGCTTTTAAAATCTACTAAGTATAGAAGCTTCTCTTCCTTTGAGGAGTCAGCTTTCTGGATGCCCCTTGGGGCTTTTAGCAGTTGTGAAATTTTGCTAAGTATAGAAGCTTCTCCTCATTGGAGGAGTTGGGCGTCAAAGCCGACTCCGCCAATGAGGATAGGCTATTATACTTGGCAGATTCTCAATCCGTCAAGTCTAAGAGCCTATGACTGACTGCTTAAAAAATAAACAGAATAAAATAAGGCTACATTAAAAATAATAAATATACATATTGGTGGGATACAAACCCATTGTCTCTTTTATTATAGAGTGAACCATTATAACCTCGTGTGTTCTTTTCTATCTTCCTTCAAAGGTTACGGAATCAGCCTCCCTTTTCTCTCTGGAGATTTGCCCCTTTTATATCTCACATATTACATATGGGGCGAACTGTGACAGGGGGTTCTCTGATGGTTTCTCTCGAGTAGCCTATTATCCTACCTGCCTAGACCGTAGCGTCTCTGCACCTTTTGGGCTGTTCACTCACCCACTTCGTCCACTATTGCGGCTCTGCGGATCTTTTGTGATTTTCCTTGGTCCGTTCTAGGTGGTTTATGGGCAGGTAATCATTCTCTGTGCTACTGACCTTCTCTAAACCCATAAGTAACCTAGGGATTTCTCCCATGTTACCTCAGAGGTTATTCTTGGGATGTGGATCCAAACTTAAGCATCCTGCCCTCTGCGTCTATATTATATTTCAAGCCGCGGCCTCCGTCCCGGTCGATCCTCCCGCGGTACCGTTGGTATGCAGAGAACGAATCATGCAGGCCTCAACTGCGTGTAGGGTCGACGGTTGCATGAATTGTCTTATACTATCGGCCTTTTCATAATTGGGGGAGGGGGAAATGAGTTTTAGACGTCGACTGCTGTCTGACGTGGCGGGTGAGGGCCACGTGGAGCTCGGTTGTCATCCGACGTGGCAAACATATTTTCCCACACAACTAGTTTATTAACTTGTCGTTTTCAAGAAAAGGATTGTTATTTAATTGTGTTTTAGAGCTTAATAGAATCCACATGTCCCCTTTAATGAAGTATTTGTTATACTTTTTAGTTTAATCGCTGTAGTCAAATACCATGAATATTCTTTTGTGGGCGCAAAAGACAGGCCAAAAGGTTGTATGGGTGATTAGGCCGTGATTAGCAAGCCATATCCGTTGACGAAGAAAATCAACCTCAAAGCAGTTTTAATCAATCAAACTTAAGAAATCATCTTAATCCTCATATAGATACAAATCAACCAAGCCATAATACATGTGGGAACAACACGCGGATCAATATGGAGCCAAAAAAAAACAGGCGGATCGGTGATGATGTTAATGAAGTAAATGTAACGCATTTACGCGTCAAATATAGTCTAACCCCACTATATGAACTATCTTATCTTGTAATTCGTCTTACAAAGAGCTAACTACAAGGGGTACACTAACAACACGCTTGGATCCAATTACTCCCTTCGATCGGACAACTAGCGCATCCTTCTTTCCAGGGTAACTCGCAACCGCAGCTAACTTGCTATCGGCTTCTTCAAATTAGGATTAGACCCCTACAGAGCACATACGCACAGCGAGATTCAAAAACAAGTTCAAAACCTCATGAAGAACATATATTAAAATATATGCATACATGACACTATCAACTCGGTCGCTAACTCAACCTAAGAGCTCACATCCACTTCTATTGTTCAACCAAATTGCACATACATAAAAGGTCAAACACAACAAAATACATGTGCTAATTAAGCAAACTGATTGTTGGCATTATCATTGACTTGATACAGGAACAGTATCCTCAGGCATAGCTTCTGCTGGAGGGGATGCTTTCACGAGAGACTTGGGTATGTCCAGGTAGTCCTGTGCGCAACGCTGTTGAGGGTGCGCTAGCAATGTACACATGCGGCGGAAGAGGGCACGCTGTAACCCCTGACCGCTCTCAAAGATATAGCCTTCGTATTCGCTTACATGCTCCAAGGCATCCACAAGCGAATCGAAGACCTCCTGCGGGCAGTTGTCAGCTGTGGGCTTGTCATGAAGATAAATGACATCTAAAGTGAATAACTTCTGGTTTACAGGCCATTGATATTGTGGTCTTGTGGATGATCTGCAGTACATGAGAATCTATAAACAAACATGTCAGTCATTCAGATGATAAATAACGAGGATCAATCACATCAGGGGTTCTTGAGATTGATAAGCACATAAAGTCTTATCAATTAGCTACAATAGCACGAGGAATAAACATAAGTGAAGTGACTACATACCACCCTAAGAATACGATTCATATCTCGCGATTTCTTTGCTTCATGTGCTGCTACACGAAATAGATTGGTGAGATCTGCTTGGCCAGAGGATGAAGTAGCTGAGAGTACCCGTAACGCTTCACTTGCAGACTCAACGTCACTGCTAAACTCTTTTCGAAGCTTCACAATGTAAAAAGAGAGTTTTTTTACTCAATCATTAAGCACATAACTAAATCGCAAAGCAAAAGATAATCGATTGTTGAAGCTGAAATCCAGAAATACTTTGATCATATATATACGTTACTGAGGGGAACTGTACCCGCATCTGCATGTTTTAGGAAATATCATACATACGGAACTCTTCTATGAATCTCAAACAAAGACGTTTGTGTTATGAAATATAGTAACAGAAAGATGAGAATAAAGAAAGTAGAATAAGGGAAAGGCCAGATTGCTTCAAGTTGCTCTTTGTCACTAGCATAACAATTTACTAAACACGAATTATTTAGCGCGAGAAACAGAATACGTTACTTAAGGCCATATTCAGTATCTGTTTTTCAAAATAGAGGATGATATTATCTAAATTTGTGCACAAACATCAGAAACAATCTTGCAATCCTAAACTTCCAGTAAGGAAGAGAAGGCTTATGGGGATGATAAGTACCCGAAAAACAGTAACGCACTCCCATAGTAACATACAAAAGGGGACAACTTGCCAAAAACCAAACTTCATTTGCGTTGCTCCTTGGGACCAGATTTAAAGTCCGATTATTAATTAACATTTGCAAAGGTACGGAAACTTTAGTACAAACTAATCGCGATCATTCTAATTTTTGCATTTTTAACCAAAAAATTAGCAAGCATAAATGATTAGTTCTCATCCCCAATCAAATAAACCAACGGCTTCGAAGGCTATGATCATACACAATCCGCTAAGCTTGCAACAAGAATAAAAATCGAATTTTCTTCTCTTTTCAATGGCGTGAGCAGAAAAAGCTAGCTAATAGCAAAGATCCTTTCTTTCATTTTTCAAATTGTATATTTAATGTTTAACGTCATTTTTAAGCACCCAAAAAATAGCCAAACAAAAAAAAAAGGTGTTTAAAAACTGCGAAAATAAACACTGCGGATCATTGAATTACCCAAATCAAAGCAATCACAAATTTCTCATTTTCCTATATTAAAGTATCTCAGAAACCAATTGGAAATGTGAAGAAGAAATACCCAAGAAGGGGATTTGCTCAGAGTGGCAATCACAAAATTCTCATTTTCCTATATTACAGTATCTCAGAAACCAATTGGAAATGTGAAGAAGAAATACCCAAGCAGGGGATTTGCTGAGAGTGGCGAAGGCAAAGCGATGTTCGGGATTGATGGTGAGCTTGGCGTTGATGAAGAGAAGGATGGCTTGCTTGATGGAGTCCAAGCGAGTGACGGGTCGGCCATCAGGGCCGCTGAGTTTCATTTCGACGAGGGATTCGGGGTCAACGTCAATGCAGAAAAGAATGTCCTCGTTGCTTAGACGACACGGTCTCAGATTGTACCGGCTCGATCCTGAGCCCTCTCCCTCTGTTCCTTCCATCTCTCTCTCTCTCTCAAACTGCTAGTCAATTAATCTGTTCCTTCCAGATACGATACGATAACTTTTCCTTCTTTTTTTTTTTTACAAAATATTGTGTGTGAGGCCATGGAAGGACTCACTTCTTTTCGTGTCTTCTCCATTAGGAGGACTCTTGCAACTTCAGATTTTCGGAGTTAACAGTTATTACAAGTAATATACCATTTTTGTATTAAATTTATCATAAAAAAGTGCATAGACTGATGGCAAAAGGTTCTACGATTCCCTAAATGGTGAAGGGATCGAAACCCTTTGTTTTAAATACTCGTTTAAGTTATTTCATTTTCCAATAGGTTATACTAGTTTTGTACTCTCGCGTTACGACGGGTAATAATTTTAGTCTTGTTCGCTTTACGGATTCGAGTTTTTAATTCGAGTTGATATGTGACATTTTTTAAGAACTTTTCACTGTAACAGAAAAAGTTAGATGTCATTTTCTGAAAGCTTTTTACTGTAAAAACCTAAAACTGAAAACTCGAATCGGTGAAATGAATAAGGCCTTTGTATATATAAAAGATCTTTGGTTGTGATAGTCGGATAATAATTTTGCATTATATAAAAGATCTCTAGTTGTAATAATACAGCTACACATCACTATATGGATAACTTTGTACGTTTGTACGTTTACATAACTTTGTATCATACAATAAATATGTGATTGTGATAGTACAGTACTATACAACGTATTTGAGTTGCCATGTCTATTTTTTGTTGTGGTCTTCTTTCTTTTTCAGCTGCAAAATAGAAATTTTGAAGAAGTATTAGTAATTGAGGAAATTGTAAATGTCTTAATTTAAAAGTAGTTATGTTACCTAGTCCTTTGACGTTTTTTTGGCTCCTCTGCTTCTTTTGACCGAGAACTAAAAATGAGAAAAGGTTATTGAAATATATGTTTAAAAGGGTATGGATAAATATATGTTTAAACATTAATGAATATATTTTACCTTGTGGCTAGTTTTTTTAGATTCGGTGTTTGTGGGTCGATTGGTGATGGAGCTGATATTATTAATTTAAAAGTAGTTATGTTACCTAGTCCTTTGATGTTTTTTTGGCTCATCTGCTTCTTTTGACCGAGAACTAAAAATGGGAAAAGGTTATTGAAATATATGTTTAAAAGGTTATGGATAAATATATGTGTTATGGATAAATATATGTTTAAAAGGTTAATGAATATATTTTACCTTGTGGCTATTTTTTTTGGATTTGGTGTTTGTGGGTCGATTGGTGATGGAGCTGATGTTGTTATTTTTGGGGGAGGGCTGAAATACCTAAGTAATGATCAAGTTCTTTTTGGATCAAAATAATAAAATAATCAGAGAAGCTGAAACTGACAACAGAGAGAAAAATGAAACATAAAGAAGAAAAACGCATTGGGAGATCGTAAGGCAAGACAAAGATCAAAGAGCTTTTATAAAATAACGGGAGAAGAAACAGGGGAAAAGATGGCACGGGAAAAAGTAAGATTTTGAATCAAAATTTTAAAACACAAATACCAAAAGATCAAAATAATGTTGAAAAAAAAAATAGTAGAGACCAAAAGAGTGACAGTCATGTTACTTGTTTATTGAAAATGAGGTAAATTAGATTATGAGAAAAGCAATATGGGAAAATCCAATAAAGAAGAATAGATGAAATTGGAGTTTAATTGGAATAGGCATTGAAAATGCGATGTATTTGGATTAAAGGAGACAAAAACAAAAGCATTTAAATTGTTTTGGTCAAGAGAATAAGTAAAATCAAAACCCAAATAAAAAGAGCTTATTCACGGCAATTTTTAGACAAATTCATCAAAATTAAGGAGGCTAAAGTTATTTTTAATCATCATTGCCACACACGAAAGGAAGAAAAAAAAAAGGAGAAGAACATTTAGGTTGTTCTGGTTAAAGAAGATAGAGAAAACTAAAATCCAAATAGAGAAGAGTTATTGACAGTAATTTTTACATTTATTACATGGAATTAAAAAGACCAAAACTGATTATAATGATTATTGCCACTTACCAAAGCTAAATAAAGATAGAATATGCTAGGAAAAAATAACTGCATTTATATATATATATGTGTCTATAAAACAGATGAGAACAGATTCAATATATCATTACTATATGCTAACGAAACATAGGAGAACACAATCATAACAACAAAAACAGGTTTTTTCCAGCATCATAACAAACAGTAAAAACTAATAGCAGCACAGGAAACTAAGAGCTTGTTCTTTTGGAGTTTAACTTGAGTATAATTCTTAAGTTGAATTTAAGTTATAACTTGAGTTGAACTTGTAACTTGAGTTTGTGTTTGGTTATGTACATTTGAGTTATGGTTTGAGATAAGAATCTTTTTGAGTTTGTATTTGAGTGAGTCAAAACTTGAATTTGTATTTAGATAGTATTTTAATAAAAACTCAATGCTGATGAAAAATTTTAATAGGGTATATGGGTCGGGTTTTATTCGTCTTTTCATTGTCAACGTATAGAAAAAAAAATCATCTCAATCAGAATTAAAACGAAAAAGTTATAGCATTTTAAGAATAGAAAAAATATTGTTCATTAATTTGAGTTCGAATTTCTAAACTCGAGTTGAAGGGAAAACTTGAACTCGAGTTTTAATCCTAAACTCGAGTTTGAACTCGAGTTTAAACTTAAAAGAACATGAACTCGAATAAAGTTGTAACTCGAGTTGCATTTTTTTGAGTTTTTCACTCAAAAGAACAAGCCATAATATATCTAATAACAACAAATATTAAGGAAATATAAGGAAGAATCATGAACAGTACCTGCAACGATGTCAAAACTGCCTTAAACAAAGAATATTAGCTACCTAAATTCACGTAGAAGAGACAAAATTTAAAAGACTGAACAATAAGTAGGCGAAGATAAAATTGTTGGGAATAGTGTCCTAGAAGCATGAGATGTAAAAGGATATTTATTATTTATTTAATAAAAGAGTTTATTCATCATTTTATGTGCATATATTTATGAATATTTTATGAATATCAAAT